CACCCCAATATCAGTATGCATATTCTCTATAGTGTTCTTCATACATTTCCTAAGGTGTTGACAAGGAGAATTTGTTCAACAATCAAAAGCTCCTTTGGTTGGACATCATGTACTTTATTCTTATGATCTTAATTCGGGGGTGATATTGTAAGGAGTAATTAGATGCTAGTTACCCTCATAATTAAGAACGAAAGGCTTGATTTTAAAAGTAATTAGCCACTTAAAAGGTAACTTCAACGGGAAACGCACCTTTACAAACATTTCCTGGTCTAAATCCTTTAAAACTAAGGCAGGGTAGACTGTTTCTTTCCTGTGACAAAAAATATTAACAACTGAAATCTCCAGACTAAAATGTAGTTATGTGGAAGCTATCTTTATTTGTTACCCTCTGGGTCAAAGTCAGACACAATGAGAAGCCAGTTAGGAGCCAAAACGAGCCAGAAGAAAACTAGCAATGATGAAAAAGATTAAAAACAATCATGGTTTGTGGATTTTGGAAAAATTCAGTCGTTAGTGTTTTAAAATTGGACATTTGTAATGCATGTTAATCCTCTGAGTTCTAAGTTATCCACATGGCTTGGACACGCACATTATCAAATTGTACTTTTGAACTGATCATTGCAAAACCATAGTCAAAAGCGATCAGTCTTACTAGATGAAACAAAATTAGCCTTTGATTATTTCAAGTAAATGTTTAAGTTTGAATTTTTTCCATCAAGAGGTTTGCACCTACCGGCCACTTTTAAATGGTTTATTACAAAGTAAAAAAAAAAGTAATAATAAAACGTGAAAGCAACAGTTATTGAAGTAATCCCTCTTTTATTTTCTTTACCTCATTTTCCATTGATACACATCATTCTCATGCAAGAAAGGGAAAAAGCTGGAAAAACATGTATGCCTTATCCTTATAAGAGATCCGCGGTCAAAACTCAGACACACCCCCGTTTCGAGTTTGTGCATCCCGTGGCTCGCATCTGATGGCAAACATATTAATTAAATGGTTCAACACTTCCAATGTTATCAAACGATGTTATGCATAAGCTTGTCAGGTAAGGGATCTCTATCAGAGATAACAGCTTTTTCCCTTAATATATTAAGGTACTTATCATATCATGATGAAACCCTTGGTCATGCCAATAAGCCCTAAACTGCCACTTCAATCAGATTTGAATCCTCTTTCCCTTCTGCTTAAACTAATGAATTTGAGAATAACACGAAGGCCTTTAAAGTATTGGAACCACTTTGAATGTGACTGAAG